TACAATCATTATTACTATTACCTTATTCTCCCACACATTTTTTCCAAAGGCCACAAGTATAACTTTTAAATAATATGAGATCATGGTTTAACTAATTGAAAATGTATCAGAAAAAAAAATTAAAAAAAAAAAAAGAAAATGTATCAGATAGTTCCAGTGTCTGATAATGACAGACTAGCTTGTATCAGAATGACCTTGTTACTGGTAGCAATTATAAATTCTTGAAAAAATATAAGTAGCAACAGAAATTGTTTATTGGCACTAGTGGGCAACTAAAAGCAGGCTAAAACTGAAGAGGATTCAACCTGTGAAAGAAGGAAACCACACTGGATGAGACCCACATTTAAGAGATCACATGGCTTTGACCCTGAGGGCCCTCCTTACCCCATATGGTAAATGGCTTATAGGACTCAAACAGAAGAAAGCAGTAGTCTTATTGGTATGAAGAATCATAGGACTGGATTCAGAGTTGTCAAAATGACTAGGAGTTGAGGAGGAGATGCTAGAAAGGAGAGAGTTACAGAAGAGGGAGCCCCCAGATCTGCTTCTTGGTTGAGTCTTAAGCCATGCATGTAGTGAAAGACTATAAGAAGCCCAGGAAGAAAACAAAAGCTATAAGCCTGCACAAACTGAGCAGAGAATGCAGCAGCTTGTTACTGCAGGTATATAAAATTTGGAATTTTATTTGTCCCCAAGTTAAAGGGGCTTGGCTATCACTTTTGGTTTTCCATTAAAACCGCAGAAGGACCATAATTTAGGAGTAAAGACTACACCCTGGGACTAAGAGACTTACCCTAGGAATAAGGGAAAAACTGAAATAGATCCTTAGCAAAGCCTTTAATTACCTAACAGTAATTTACCTACCTGCTAGAACAAACTTCAACACCATTTGAAGGAAAATAATAGAATCTAAAGCCTCTACAATATATTCATATTATTGCCAATTTCCAATATGCCATCAGTAATTACTAGACATACAAAGAAACAAGAAAATGTAACCCAGAGTCAGATGAAAAAATGAGTCACTATAAACTGACCTATAGCTGACCTAGCTATTGGAATTGGTAGATAGGGACTTTAAAATAACTGTGTAAAATCTGTTAAGAAATTTACATGACAAGGTAAATAGAATGGGTGAGGAAATGGGAGATTTCAGGAGAGATATGAAAACAGCAAGAAAAAGAACCAAATGGAAATTTTAAAAACTAAAAAGAAGTATTTGAAATTTTTAAAAAATTCGATGGAATGAATAGTAGATTTAGCACAACTCAGTAATGAAAAGACAATAAAAATTAACAGAATACATGAGTAGACACTTCCAGAAAGAAGATATATGAATGGCCAATATGCACTTGGCAAGATACTTAACATCATTAGTCATCAGGAAAATATAAATTGAATACTGCTTTATAGCCATTAGAATTGCTAAAATTAAAAAGACTGACAACACCAAAGGGTTGCCAAAATTTGAACTCTCATACATTGCTGGGAGTATGTGTAAAATGGTGTAATCACTTGGGAAAACTGTATGTTAGTCCTTTATAAAGTAAAATATTAATGTATACCTACCCAGTAATTTCACTCAAAGATATTTGTCCAATGGAAATGAAAACATTTAGCCACAAAATGACTGTGCAAGTATGCAGATTTATTCATAATTCATAACAGTTAAAAACTATAAACAGTTTAATGTCCATTCACAAGTGAATGGATAAAGAAATTATGGTATATTCAACAGTGGAATATTAGGAATAAAAAGCAATGAAGTCCTAATACATGCAGCACAGATGAATCTCAAAAATATACTGAGTGAGACAAGATAGTCCCCCTCTCTCTTATATAAAATTTGAAATGATATAACAGGTAAAAGTTAGCTATGGTGATTGAAATCATCACAGGAAGTCATTCTGGGTGGTGAGAGGGGACATTGGATGAAAGGGCACAAGACACGTTTTTGGGTTGATGGAAATTTTTTGTATATTTGTGGCATTGTAGTTACATGAACATAAAGTACACATTTGTTAAAATTCATGAAAACTACACACTTAAAGTTTGGACATTTGATTGTGTGTACATTATGTCATAAACAGAATGAATGGGGATTTGAAGTAATGTAATATAGTAGTTGAATATGCCACATGCAGGAATTGAGGTTAGACTGCCTGGATTCAATTCCTGAAGGCAGTAAATTATAATAGTTAAGAGCATGTTTGTTGCATCAGACAAATTTGCATACATACATATATGTGTATGTATATAATGTTGTAAACAAAATAGTGATCATACTGCATATACCCTTCTAAACCTGGCATTTTCCCTTAGAAATCTTTTGAATCACATTGCCAATGCATTGTGAATGTAGGCAAGTTACTAACCTCTTCTAAGATCCTATGAAATGGAAATGATAAAATTAGTGTCTACCTTATAAGGTTGTCCTGAGTATAGTGCCTGGCACATAGATATATTCAGTACATTTAAGCTGTAGTCACTATTATAAAATAGCTCTTCAGCTAGACTTTCATTACCCTAATACAGTCAGGAATACTGATATAACCATGAAGATTTTTAAAATTAGATATCTGCAAACTGCATTAGACTGCAATCTAAATAATGTAGACAATATTTGACAGCATATGATTAAATACACTAGCAAATCCTATTTTTGCTATCCATTTCAAACTAAGTAACTAATTATCTCTTTGCCAAGAAAAACTGTTCACTTTAAAATAGTATTCTTGAAGCTCTTATAAAAAATTTCATACACAGAGAAATTAGGAACTAATTTTTTTTCTATAAGCTCACTCTCTGCTTCCTATCCCACGATCACATAATGAAAGACAGTACTAATGTATGTATATATGTATATGTGTATGTATATAATGTTGTAAACAAAATAGTGATCATACTTCATATACCCTTCTAAACCTGGCATTTTCCCTTAGAAATCTTTTCATGTGAAGGACTTTGTTTACCTGTAAAGCTGGTCTATTCTTTTCAACAGCTGTACAATAGTCCATGACCCTGATGGGCTTTTATTTATTTAACCAGCTCCCTACTGATGGGCATCTGAGTAAATCTAGGTTTTCACTATTATAAACAACTGTGACCTCTGTGACATCCTGAGACATATATCCTTTGCACTTGTGTCAATAATTTCATGTAATAAATTCAAAAAAGGAAAATTGCTAATTGAAAAAGCAGAATTTATCGATCTTTCTTCTGTGAGAGAAAAAAGTTTTATGTGTGAGTGTGTGTGCATAAACGGCGAGAGACTAAGCACCAGAATGTGGAAGAGTTCTCTGGGTAGTAGAGTAAATGGAGGTTTTCATATTCTTGCTTCTCTATATTTTTCACTTTTAAATAAAGAAAAGAGTTATTTTAAGATTTACACAAAATTTTGACTTAGGATATTTAAGATAACTACCATCAACAGGGCATCACTGTACTACACCCCATGCTGAATGTCTTCCATGCACAATATTATTCAAATTTCATGCACAACTCTCTGAGGTAGTGAGTGTCATTACTGACAACTGACTTATAAGAAACCTGGGGTTTGGAGCATCACATGGCTGCTAGAGGGGAGTCTGGATTAAAACCTAGGTTTTGTGAGACAATGCAGTCTATAGTAGTCTTGAGTGAATTCATTTTGTTGAGAAGGTCTTTGAGGCCCAGATTCATTCTCAGACTTTACAGACAGCACACATGTGGTGATGTTGTAAAGCCCAGATAATCTTGTTTTCCTAAAAGACTTTTTCAGCTAACAGTCATGCCTGTATGCCAGTCAGTGGCAGCAGAAACCAACTTGGACGCTAGACAAGTTATACTTCCCTTAGTGCCAATGTTCGGTCCAATATCCAGCTTCCTCTCAAAATAATAATAATAATAATAATGATAATGATAATAATAATGAAGGGTGATGATTAATTGCATGGTGTTATGAGCTGTGGAGCTCTTCAGACCTCTAACAATCAAACTATTTTCACATTCTGGATCTCTGTTATTCTTTCCTTCTCTTTCTCTTCGTTTTGCAATCTTGCATTTCCTTTCTGTCCAAGGGTCCTGTTCAATAACAACTAAGAGCCTCAATTCTCAACTTCCTAGTGCACGTATATATGGTTTTTATAGCCTTCCACCTATGTGCTTACCCCTGATTCAGTCATAGAGTTTTTTATGCTTTGGAATTATTCTTACTAGATGTGAAGGGACCCCAAATGCAAAGCCAGAGAGCTGATGAGACTTGAGGCTGCTCAAGGGCACAAAGCCTGCCCCTCCAGCAGACTCAGGTCAGCGCAGCAGTTCTGTCTTAGTCTCTGTCAAATGAGAGTGAGGAGTGGTCTTGGGGGCATTTAGCAATACCTAATCTACCTTGCCCATCATCTAGCCCAGCCACACACCCTACAGAAATACAGTGATGTTTGTGTCATGCTTGCTATTGAGTGGGAAAGTTGCTCAGATGTTTGGTTTCTGTTTTGGTAGCTTTAATTCTATTCTCAGTTTTGAGGTGAGTAAAAATGTTGCAGAGTGCCTTTCTAACTTTCTTCATGACCTTTTTTCTTCTATAACCTATGCTGTGTTGGTGGCAACACTTACTAGCTCAGGAGAGACCATTGTTAGCATTTCTTCCCAATCCTTTGTTCAGTGACATTGAATTGATAACTTAAAATTTGACATGGGGATAGTATTTATACCATTAAAATGAGAAAATGCTACATATCAGGGACTTCCCCACCCCGAGAGAAACCATTTAACATTTACCAGGACACCACTTCTATAGTCCTTCTTCTTCTGCTCACCACATGAATAACACACTAACACACACATGCACACGCATGCACACAGAACTAGTGTTTGAAGGATTGGACACCATGGGTTTTCTTCCATGGGGCTATAGTGATTTCCAAGAGGAATAAATTGAATTTCTTTTCTCTTCCCATCTCAAGTTAAACATTTATTTCCAAAAGGCCAAATATAGGCTAACTTTTTTCTCTCTCTCCTAGTGGATGGCTGCATTCACAGAGCAGCTGGACCCTGTTTGCTAGCTGAATGTCGTAACCTGAATGGCTGTGATACTGGACATGCAAAAATCACATGTGGCTATGACCTGCCTGCAAAATGTGAGTACAACTTTTTTGAACACTATTTCAAAATCGCATGAGACCTCTTACCTTGTTTTATTCATCTGGTATATAATTGGAAAAGCAAATGGCGATGGTGGTATTTAATTACATGTGCTTGTGTTTAGTTTTTGTACAAAGTAATAAGAATGTGTTTTCTAAATATGTCTCCAAATATATATTTGTGTATATATATCTATATATGCGGTTTAACTGTAGATTTTTGTTCAAGTCTTTGACAGAGTGTCTCTGAAACAGGGGAATAAAAATATGAGCAAAATATACATTATAGCATTTAAGTGCCAGAGAATGACAGCTTCTGGAAATGATGCCAATTTCTTATTCCTTGTTCAGGTTTCTTGATTGTGGATGTGTTTAGAGCAAAGGAGATCAAAGTGATGTATTGTGTTTTCAGCTGCCATGTAAAGGCTGATTGGCAATTACAGCCAAGGCATCTGTCACACTTTGCTTTTAGGAAAAGCCAATGGAACCTGGTTGTCAGTGTGAGAACGTATTTGCTCTTTGAATGTGGAATGGTCAAAATTTCCATTATATTTGAATAGAGAGAAGTATTGCATTTGATTGACCTTGTTGCTTAGTCATTTAGCCAACGGGGTGGGGTGGCATGGAATAAAAAATACTTAGAGAAACTGGTTACAGGTACAGCTTTTTTTCATCACATAATCTTCAGGGTGTGGGGATGGAGGTGGAGGGTTTCATTGCACCATTCAGGGGTGCATCAGCCCGAAAACTGAGACACCGATTTATTGATCGTCCTATTCACCTACTTCTTATGATACTGCTGGGGTCTGTGAATATATTTTATGTAAAAGTGAAGCTAGTTTAGGCTTTTGTTTGAGTAGTGGAGAAAACATGACTAAAAAATTATAGCACAATCTGTAGGACACAACTTAGGTTATATATAGACAGGTTGTGTAAGAATGAATTTCCTGTGGATATGGGATAACATGGATAGTGTGTAACATTTTAAACACTACTTTAAAAGTATGTTTAAATTTGAAGATTTGTAGTAAATTGTAACATATTGAAGTTGCATTTTTCTTTATAAACATTATCATACTGCATTCTGTTAATATATTGCTCACAGTGGGTTGCTAGTGAAAGTACAGTCAGGCATCACATAACGTTTCCTCTGGCAATGAATGTATGTACGAGAGTGGCCATCCCCTCCATAAGATTATAATACAAGTTGAGTACTTCTTATCTAAAATGCTTGGAACCATAGGTATTTTGGATTTCAGATTTTTTTAGATTTTGGAATATTTGCACATACATAGTGAGATATGTTGGGGATAGGACCTAAGTCTAAGCATGAAATTCATTTATGTTTCATATACACCTTATACATATAACCTGAAGGTAATTTTATGCAATATTTTTAATAACTTTGTGCACGGAACAAAGTTTTGACTGAATTGTGATGGGAACCTATCTCATGCAGTCAGATGTGGAATTTTTCACTTGTGGCATCATGTTGCTGCTCAAATGTTTCAGATTTTGGAGCATTTCAGATTTTGGATTTTTGGATTAGGGATGCTCAACCTGTACCACATTTTTACCATAACTTTTCTATGTTTAGAAATGTCTACTTACACAAATACCCTTGTGTTATAATTGCCTATAGTATTCAATACAGTAATGTGCTGTCCAAGTTTGTAGCCTAGGAGAATTAGCCGATATAGCCTAGGTGTATAGTAGGTTTGTGTAAGTATACTCTATGAGGTTTACACAATGACAAAATCACCTAATGACGCATTTCTCAGACTGTGTCCCTGTTGTTAAGTGGCGCGTGACTGTATATCAACCATATACTGTTTAATCTGTCCATTAGCGGCTTTTCATTTTTCTTTCTTTGCTAATGTTTTTACCTTGCATAAAAACGTCGAATCATGTGTCAAACGGTTCTCGCTTCTACCTGGAATATATATTTATGTCAAATAAAGCACATTGTGTATGATGGTGTTTAGAGCAGTTCTCCCTCTAATTCAGGGTTCATGATCTGAGTATCAAAGGTGATTTGCCTCTCCAGGATTATATAACTCTATGTTAACAAATGTTGGTCCTTTTTCCTTTCTCACACCATGCCACCTTTGTGATTTAGCCAATCTATACCACCCTGAGACAAGCAGATTATTGACTATCTTCAGACTTATGTCTGTCCTTAAACCAAGTGATAGTCCTAGTCTCCGATTGATTCACTATTTTCTTTCTTATGTATTAAAGCACAAATCAAAAACTCTCCAACTCTGAACTTTCTAAAGACAGATAAACTCAGAATCATTAAATACACCCAAATAAAATGGTGGCTCTAGTGTATGGGTTACATTGTGATCATGTTTTTAATGTTCTTGCTCCTTCCTGTTTGATATCTCTCTGAAAATGTTATTCGGCTTCCTTTGAATGTCATTCTTCTTATTTCAGGATCATTGAAGACTTGCATGATACCAGGCACTGGTACAGAGATCAATAAGCCAGTATCTGTGCTTGCGGAATTTCAGTGATTAAGTCAAATATTTGAACTAAAGTGTGACTTTCATGGGCATTCTGGGGCAAGTGGGTCTTGGTAAGACAAGGACTCTAGACATGAAAAGTCAGTGCACAGGGCTAGGTATAGAATCAACATGAGTTGACATACTGAGAGCCTGACACATATTCAAATCACCAAATGTAGCCCATAGGGCACATTTAGTAAAAAAATCATCTAATAGAATAGAAATGGCAGTGCCACCTCATAAAAATCATAAACAGGGAATATTTGTGAATAGATTTTGGTTTTTCTATATATTTAAAAAGATTAATGAAAAAGCATAAAGGAAAGCAATATGAAAATGAGTAGCAATAACTTACATTTGTATGCCACTTTATGGTATTTCACAGTGCTTTCACAAGCCCTTATATTTTAAATTATGTTTTATAAACATTGTGTGTGTGTGTTCATTTTCCCTTTCCCTATCCCTGAGAGATGTGTTTCTTTCTCATCAATTTGGTTCATCCATTTCAGAGTCATTAACAATCCACAGATGTGCTTTTGTAGTGAGAGAATGAAAAGGGAACTCATTACATACTGTTTGGGTCATTTTTTCCTTCCATATTTAATAATTCCATGACAGTTTGACAGCAAAGACTGGTTACTACCTGTCCTCTGAGACAGCGGGTTTATCATTATAGGGGTACTAAAGCCAGTCATCTAGCCACAAGTGATAATATCTTCATGCATCAGCAATTTGTTTGGAAAATGCTATTGTCTGGGTTACAGAAAAACTTGATAATTTTGAACTGGTCTTTGCTTCTTTTATGCTTGCTAAATTAATCTATTCATAAGTGGTTGTATTTGAATTAATTATACTTGTAGTCTGTGTTCAGCAACTCATCATGATTGGTGGAATGATAAGCTCCAGATATTTAGTTCATTTTTCACCACTTGGTTGTTTTGAATGATTTCCTTTTGGTATTGAAGAATATCCAATCATTCTTTTCAAAAGAAATCTTAAGAGTGGCAAGAATATAGGCCAATATTTCAATGGAAGGCTATTGCTAAAGAAATGATTTAGGAAGTAGATGTTAGACTATTTATGTAATTGGATCTTTTGGGGACCTTCTCTTCTATACTATTAGATTTTTTTGATTCATAATAAAATTTAGATTTCTATAGATTTTTTAGAAGCTTGTTGACATGTGGGACATTTCTTTTCATGCTATCACCATCCCACCAGATGGCCAGCCTCATGCAAACAAGATTTGTCTATTTCAGTCACTGTTCCAGTGTCAATATTTAGTATAGTATCTTTTAAATATGTGCTGAAATTAATGCGAGTAAATGCAGGATCAAATTAATTTCAGGACTTTTTCACCTGGAAAATAGCTTTGTAATTGTTGCCTCTACTTCTAATACTTTTCCTGCTATAATCTATTCTGTACAGTGCTGGTGAATTAATATACCTAAATCCAGAATCTTTAAAATGGTCTACAAGGCTCCACATGATGTGACCTTTACCTCTCTGACATCATCTTCTTCTGTGCTCTCCCTCACTCACGCAGGCTGCTTGGCTGATCCTCGATGCCTTTGCATTGGCATTCCCTCAGCCTGGAATCTGCTTCTAGACACCTACGTGGCTTGTCCCTTACCTACTTCAAACCCTTGTTGAAATGTAACATCAGGCATAATCCTAAAGAACCTGTCTATAATTGTTTCTGTTTTATTAATAATTGTCTGTAGAATTTAACCTTCAAATATACTATGACATTTACTTATTTCTTTTGTGTAGCTATCAATACCTTCCCTTACCAGAATAAGGGCATACTCTATTTTTTTTACTTTCATCTTTTAATTTATTCCTGTATCCTTACAGCTTATAAAAATGCCTGACTTACAATTGGGGCTCAAAAGGTATTTGTTGAATGATGAATAAAAGTGTAACCAAAATCCTCTCAAAATCTGCCAATGGCTTTTTCCTTGTTAGCTTGATTTTCTTTGGCCTTCTATGACATATGGCCATACCTTGAGGTACTTAAAACCTTTTGTATGATATGATTTGCTCACAATGGTATGTCTGAATATGGGGTCTGTATCTGGGGCTATCTAAAAAGCTCTTTCTTTTCTCCTTTCCACCTGTCTTCTAGACTTAGCTCAAATATTATGTCTATCATGAAACATGTCTTCTCTTCTTACCTCAGCTAAAAGTACCTTCATTTTTCTTCAAACTCCAGAATATTGTAGGTTAACACACTGAGGGCACTTTTCATGTGCTGCCTTTTATGTGCAAACTTTCTACCTTTATAACAGAGTCCTTTGTGCATAACAGGTACTAGAGAAATACCTATCAGATGAATTATTAATAGTACAGTGTCAAAACTGGTTGATAACTGGTGGTGAATGAGATATAAAAGAAAAGTTATCCTAATCTTCCTAAGAAATTATGAAATTAGTATTAGTTATACATTGTATTTTTTAAATCATATATGTGCGCGTGTGTGTGTGT